CCTTCTTCCGGGGGAGGAAGAAGCAGCAGGAACCCCCAGCCTGTGAACTGACTCCAAACCCCATCCCCTGTCCCCCTGTGCCGCTGGGGGGAAGGAGGAAGAGAAACCGGGAACAAAGGGATTTGGGCCCGGGAAGAAGGGAGGGGTGGGGGAACATACGCAAGCCCTGCTCTGTGTGTTGTCTGTGTCCTGTGGGTGTTTGATTAGTGTGAAATTAAATTATTATTTTTTTCCCCAAGTTGAGTCTGTTTTACCCAGGACCTTAATCAGTGAACAACCCTCCTTGTCCTTTTTCTCAACCTATAAGATTCTAGTTGGCCTTCAGTGTGTGTATGTGGGGGGGAGAGTTGAGTGAGTGGCCACGTGGCTGGTTCTTTGTTGTAGTGTTAGACCCAAACCACAACAGTGGTCCATCCATCACGTCCATGTCTCTCCAATTTATAGACCAGGATATCATGCAGGACAGTGTCAAATGCTTTGCACAAGTCCAAGTAGATTATATCAGTTGGTCTACCCTTATCCACCAACTCTGTAACCCTGTCATAGAAGGCCACCAAATTTGTCAGGCATGATTTCCCCTTAGTGAAGCCATGTTGGCTATTACCAATTACCTTATTTTCCATGTGCCTTAGCATGTTTTCCAAGAGAATCTGCTCCATGATCGTACTGGGCACAGAGATGAGACTGACTGGCCTGTAGTTCCCCAGGTCTTTTTTTTTTTTTTTTTTTTTCCTTTTTAAAACTGGGGTTTACTTTTCCCATTCTACAGTCAGTGAGAACTTCACCAGACTGCCATGACTTCTCACATAGGATGTACAGTGGCTTAGCAGCTTCATCCACCAACAGTTCCCTCAGGGCCTGTGGATGCATCACATCAGGTCCTGTCGACACGTGCACTTTCAAGTCCCTCAGATGGTCTCAGACCTGATCTACCCCTACCGTGGGTAGTTGTTCATTCTCCTAGTCCCTGCCTTTGCCTGCTATGACTTGGATGGTGTGGGTTGAGCCCTTGTCAGTGAAGACTGAGGCAAAATATCTGTTGAGTACCTCAGCCTCCTCTGTATCTTGGGTAACGAGGTCTCCTGTTGCCTTCTGGATAGGGCCCACATTTTCCATAGTCTTCTTTTTATCACTGCCGTAGCTGTAGAAGCTTTTCATGTTGCCTTTGAAAGCCTGTATACTTCCATTCCAACATTCCAGTCATAGGAGTCATCCCACCATGTCTCCATGATGCCAGTAAGATCACAGTCCTGCAGGCACATGCACATCTCTAACTCCTCTTGTTTATTCTCTGTGCTGTGTGTGTTTGCATAGTGGCATTTAAGTTGGACCCCCAATGAAGTTGACTCATTGGCTGAAGTGGCTGGAATTAATTTGATACATATCTCTGGTGCTTCCCTGTTGGCTTCTGATACCTCAGGAGCCCCAGCCTCATCTTTGTAAGATTTCAAGTGTGCTGCAATGTATCCAACACATCTCCTGTTAACGTCCTGTTAACATCTAATGCCAACAAGGCTGTTGCTGTGTAGGAATCATCATCCAAAAAAACGAAATTGTGGTGATAACAACAGCCATGTAAGCCATGTAGTAATAGACTGGGTCTGTCTGTGTCTTCTAATGTCACTGCCCACAGCTGGATGGAGAGAGGACAAAAGCTGTGCCCCAGCTTCCTTCACCAAATATCCCAAGGCCCAGAAGTCTCATTTGATCACTCCTGGACTGTGCATTGCAGTGTCATCACCACCCACATGGAAGATCAGTAGTGGGTAGTAGTCTGAGGACCCAACCACACTAGGAAGTTTTCTAGTGGTGTCTTTAACCCAGGCTCTAGGGAGAAAGCAGATTTTCCTATGCTGAGGAGTTTACTCAGCATATTGAACCCTCTGTTCCCTTTAGAAGGGAATCACCTACAGTTACAACTCATCTTCTTTTCCTGGTGGAGGTGGTCGTGATACGAGGCGTAGGCCTTGAGTAACACTGGCATTTCTGCAGAACTGCTGAACATTTTTCAAAAGCCTTATTCACTGAAATACTTGATCTTTATTTCCAGTTGCAAATTATGGTATCTAGAAAAGCAATGTCTTAGTCTAGGCAGTTTAGCTAAGCACATACTTCATGGAAAATAGGAATCAATGGTACTGAACTCAGAGAGATGTCCTCTTCTGTCCCTCCATACCAGTTTAAATAATTTCCTTGACCTGCAGTTAAGAGCATTCAAATAATGTATCAGATGCTGTGCCAAAACTGAATTTCAGTTGAGAGTTGTGGCCTGAAATGGCTGCAGCAGGTAGATTCAGTTGGTGGCAACTGCTGTAAGCTCAGAAGCAGAGCATCTTTTCCTTTGCTTCTGCTGCTGATTTCATGTGCTGCTTTACCTATCTGTGCTGGGTAGGATATGACTGAACATAGTCAGTGCAGGCACTTGTCTAGTGGTTCTTATATTTTTAGATAGGTTGACATAGAGCACAGGATGCATAGAGACAGCTGAAAGCTCTCCAAGCCTGATAGAGCCTGGAGAATAACAGAAAGTTCAGGATCCTGTTTGGTATCCTAACGGATGTTAGAGTCAGAGAAAATAAGAACATGGACTGTAGCTGAGAAGGCTTGACATAGAGCTCCTCATCCCAAACTAATATTAAATGTTCTATATGTTTAGATTATGAACATTAAGTGTTCATAAATGTTGATGTTCTATAACTTCCTTTGAGTATTTTATGGAATATTTTTTCTTTTCCTTGTCAGTCCAAGAAACTAATGGCAACAACACTAATGGTGCCCAGCCAAATGTCTCTCACTGACTAGCCATCTGTATCGTGTCCTGACAGAACAAATGTTCCAAATGAGCTAAATTCACCTTTCTTGCTCTTTTGTCAGAACTGCTTCACTGATACCTTATCAAGATGTCTCTTTTTAATATGGTGTGTGTAGTTGGGTGTATTGCATGGCATAATGATAGTGTGTCCCCCTCCTGAAATCTGGCATATCTTCTGAGCAAGGGTTTTGGAGGTAATGTAAGGCAGAAATAAAACTGAGAAAACAAAAAGGTGAGGCTCATAGCAGATCAGATCATGGCTTGGCCAAGGGACAGATCATTTGAGCCATATTTGAGGATAGCCTGCCCAGCAAGAAGAAAACCTTGGCTGCAGTTAACAGATTCCAACCAAAATCTAGTCCTGGGTGATCTCAACACTTCATGGCAAGGGAATACAGTGCTTCCAAGCATGAGAATATTGGCAGTGTTGCAGACTGGTTTCATAATCCTTGGGTAGGCTGTGACAAGTAGTTGTAATTGTTCCCAGATCACTGCTGGATTGTTTCCCCATCAGACTGCCTTTAATTGAGCTTCTCTGTCAAACTGTTTCTTGGAGGTGTTGGCTTTTGGTATCTAAGGCATGGTGGACCCACACAAGTGGGGCAGGGGAATGCAGAGGCATTAAGAAGCCTGTACCTGAGACCCTCCATTCACAATTGTGGAAGTAGCCACCTCTAGGTATAAGTAGAAAAGCAAGAGCATTATTATGAAGAATGAGACTTCTTTGGTGGTCACCACACATTGGGTGTCCTCATTTCCCTGTATTTCAGATTGTCACCTGGGTTTGCAGTAGATGTAAAGTCTGGTAGGGCAGCTGCTGTGGAAGAAGCAGTGAGTAAAGTGAGCTTCACAAGAAGCTACTAGGATTTCTTTGTTTGAAGGGAAAAGCAGAGTTCAGATTAAATATTCTGCATATTGTAAGCAGAAGGTCTTTGCCATCCATGAAGAATTTATAAGCCAGACGTGGAATTGCAGTTTAATGGTGGAATTTGGATGTGACTTCTCAATGGCAGGCAGTTTCTGATATTGAGAAATGGAATAACAAATAACGTAACTGTTTGATTACCTGGATATTCTCTCAAGGCTAAATGAACACTCATATTTGAACAAATCAGCTTACTCAGTTATACTGCTGCTGGTTTTGATTTTATTTTTTTGAAGGAAAATTGCAAACTTAGGAATTTTTTTTATTTTTTTATTACTTGGGTTTCTGTACATTTAGTATCTGCTTATGTTACATTTTTTCTTGTAGTAACCTATGTATTTGTCCATGTGTATTAAATTGTTAAAAGTATTTTATAGATATATTGGTATATTTAGAATATACTGGTATATTTAGAAAGCTTATTTTTTATTTTTATTAACATGAGATGTTTAGCATGTTGTTATTACTTGTACATGCTCATTCTTCCTGCAGAAACCCCATCAATAAACATCTTTATCAGACTACGTTTTCAATTCTTCTATAAGCAGTGGCAGTACCTGCAGGAAAAATATGTGCGAGAAAAAAGGTCTCAGTAGTAACTTCTAATTGGATCTCTAGTTTCTTTACCCAATATTTCTGTAAATAATAATGAAAAAGCAACACTCTGTGTTTTGTGAGTATCAAGTAAAAGATAAAGAAAATAGGAAAAAGCAAATGAAGATGTAACAAAAAGATTGTGTATTGCAGATTCTACAATATTAAGTACTTTATTCTGCTGATTTTAATGTGATATTTCAAAATTGGTTGTAACGTCTGTTGAAACTATTTTCATTTTTTCAGATATCTTGAATGAACTCTTCCAGAGGGAGAACCGTGTGCTGCATTATTGGACCATGCGTAAAAGACGTCTTGATCAATGCCAACAGTACGTGGTGTTTGAAAGAAGTGCCAAACAGGTGAGGGTTTTTATCCTCTTCAGTGTGGTTAAGGTTTGACCTACACTGACTTGTCCTATAATAAGAAATTTGCCGTTGACTTTAGCAATGGCTGAAAAGATCAATACTGAAATAGAAACTAAGTGATCCTTTGACACAAAACAGCTAAATCTGTTGAGACAGGGTGTCTTTACTGATGTAACTTAAAGGCAGTGTTTTGCTTCTGCCAGCTTTATCTGGTACTGGTGAATCTCATTTCTGCAAACTTGTGCTAGACAAATTGTTACACTTATTAATGTTTACACCTACACCTAATTACCTACCTAAAATAACAGGCAGCAACATTTTTCTCAGATGTTGGGGGAAAACCATCTAATTAAATTGATTGACACTTCTGAAAAACTGACAAGTTGGATAACTCCTTAATAATAATTGAATGACTTTGGAAAGTTTTTGCAATTCTCTGTGTACTTGGTTTCATGGTTTCTTGCATGATAGATCCACCTCTTTGTATTTTGTTGAACTTGTCAGTCTGGAATGAAGTATTAAATAACTACCACACACACAAAATAATCACCTCCACTGATCAAAACACAAGCCATAAAAATAAGTAGGTGTTTACAAGGCAGAATTAGTAAATTAGTAACAGGAATGACCTGCAATGGGTTTTTACTACTTTTTAAAAAAAAAACTGGATATAGGACAAAGAAAGGAAGCAATCTGTTCCTGTTCTGCAGAGAAGGACACAGTGCCCATACCGTGAAATACAGTTAGATATACTTCAAAAGGCTGACTGACAATCCTGATTTTTTTCTTTCTTTCTGACAACCAGTGTAGACAGAGGCTTAAGTATTAGTGCTCTGTTTTGATCGCTTGAAAGATTTCTCAAGTCTGTCTTCCGTGCTTTCACAAATAAAGTAACGCAAGATAAATCCTGGAGTCTTGGAGTGAAGTTAATGATGAATACCTCTTAAAAAAAACAACACTCCTTCATACTCCACCCCCTCCACTTTCCAATAACCTTAACTTCAACCTCTGTCAAACACATGACCTACTTGCTTTTGTACAGAGATTACTGACTAACAGTCAAACACTGCAGATAAAGATCTGTCAGCATTTTTTATTGTAAATCCCATGTTTCAGCTATCACCAGTTCAGTCACTATTGCAACTCCACACTGATTAGCTAGAAAATTGAAATGATGCTGTATTCATTTAGATTTTTGTTTGCAAGTTGGAAGAAGCCATTCTTTGTGCTTTCAGAACTTGGTACCCTGCGATGGGAACAGGTACTGCAGTAGTTTGCAAGGCAAATGGTAGACTCTCAAATCTTTCCACAGTTAAGGACTGAACTGGTGACTAACTTGATTTTTCCAGTTCTTGTATGGTTATATGTGTCTCCAACATACAATCCTGATTTTCACATGAACGACGAGCTGGTCTACACTGGTCTACATGTAGATTCCTACGGTTTAGTAGGAATCAACATGGAGATGAACTTTGGGTAGTGGCTCTAGAGAGCAGCCAGAATGTTATAAAAAGGCAGCTCTTGGCAGGGGGAAATGTTGTTTTGTTTGTCATTCATTCCAACCTTGTGTAATAAATCCACCAAAAACGGTGGAGGTTAAAAAGTTAAAAGCAAGAAGTTTCAAAATAAATATTGTTTGTACTATCAGCAACAGTCATGCTGCCTGTTGATTTAAGTCCTCGCTTGCAAAGACTGACATTGGAATGGGAAAGGGCATTTTAAAGTTGCTTGGTTGAAATTCCCATTGTCATGACACTAATCCAAGAGTTGTTGGTTTCTTTCCATCAGCAGCACTTGAAAAGTACAGGCTCATCTCATCAGGCTTCTCTCTGCACTAGTATGTGATTTGATAAATGGCATCCTAGCATTCACATTCAGTGTTAAATTCTGAAGGTTTTCTACTCACTTCGTTTTTTGTACCCAGAGGCAAAAGCAAGTCCTAAGTGGAAAAAGAGAATAAAAGTTTTTTCAGTCACAGCCTTTGTGAGCTTAAATTCCTGGTGGAATTAAAACCCAGAAGATGCTTTTTCTGAGTTAGTGTAAGGTTATGCTCTTGAAAAAATACCTGTGTACTGTCTACCAAGATAAAACTTCTCCTGTTCTTCAATAAATAAAAGGGTAAACTGAAGGTATGAGAGATAAAAGGAGGAATGAGAACCCACTAGCCATCTTTTTCTTTTGTTTTATTAATTTTTTATCTAGTGCTTTATGTATTTACTGAAGGCACAGAAGATACATATGGATTTAGTAGCAAGACAGTTCTAAGGAAGCTACTTTAAAATCTTTGAACATCTGATACTGGCTTGTCAGATCCAAGAAGTTTCTACAGTCATGTGCCTCTGCATACTGCTGTGCTAGCAGAACAATTTGATAATGTCACTCCTCAGCTACATTTATTTTATTTTTACTGTTATGCAGCAGTTTGAGAGGACTGTCTTGTAGCCAGGGTAGGATTCCACACAACCACTGAGTTATACTTAAAGGGCAGCAAATATTAATGTGGATAGAACACAGATAATAGTATGATCATTGTGGTTCATAATACTGAGAGAGTAGGGTGTTAGGATGTGGAATTTTAGTCTACAGTTCTTAGTTCTTGTCTTTTACTACCTATACGTATATTAATTGGTCTAACTGATACATATCACCATTTTGCAGGTTTAATTTCTAGGAGTGCATGTAGCTACAGACCATACTTTGTGAGGTGGAAATGCTCATCTGCTAAAGAGTTGTAATGATAGTTGAATCTTACAGGCTTGGAAAGTTTAGCCTACACATTTGCCAGTCTTACGTACATTTTGATAATTTGGAAAATGCATATTTCTAAGTACAGCTGTCCTGTGTTACACCAAAAAAGTTATTTGTGCTCAACTGGAAAGTATACTAACAAAAGTGTAGACACAGTCAGTTAGAACCTTTAATGATGGGCTGCTATAGTCCTGTAGTACATGAATACATGAAGTATTCAGATTGTGTTAGTTGTTTTTCTCAATCCTTTAAGCATTGCTTCATAGAGTAAGTGAATAATTTCAGACGAACAAACTGATACTGTAGAGGTGTTAGTCAATTGCCATGAGTGACATTGAGTAAAATTTACCTTTGGCAAATTTGTGTTGTGAAATACTGATTACAGATGGTTTCTATTGGCAAAAGTATGTTGTCTTCTCTTACTTTTTCTACATTATTGTGTTTTTTAGGCTTTGGAATGGATTCATGACAATGGAGAGTTTTATTTATCTACACATACTTCCACTGGCTCCAGTATCCAGCACACTCAAGAGCTGCTAAAAGAACATGAAGAGTTTCAGATAACAGCAAAGGTACAATAAATACATAAAATTATATTAGATGTAAAAAAAATCCAAATAACCCAAACTCATCCTGTGTGTGTGTGTGTTTGTGTCCCAAGAACCCCAAGGATGTGTCCACCAAGATTTGTTTACTTGCAGTGGTGTTCTCTCTTTATTTCTATTGGGAACAGAATAAACCAAAAGATAATCAGAAGTTAATCACTGTTAGTGGAGTTCCATCAGCCCTATGGGCTGTTGATTCCTTACAACAGAATTGTAGTGAGATAGCATAAAAGTATAAAACCTACAAACATTGCAGGGCCTTTGATTTCCACTTTTCTATTTTCATGTCTGTGTTTTACTTTGTGTTCATCTAGGATACAAAATACAACAAGGCATTATTATTCAACTGTGATTTAATTAGAAGATAGTAGAACAGTAAAAGCCTTACTGCTTAGGTTACTCATTTTTTTAAAGTAGTTTGTTTCTGTTGCAACTTTTTGAGCTGTGGCAGTACTACATTATTTTACATTTCTGTGGGCCTATACAGAGATGCAGATGAAACTCATAAGGCTTAACAGTTCTCTTGTGAAAGACAGGCAACTAGTGCATGAATGAAGTACTTGAGCTTATGTAGCCTTGTCTGTGTTTCATTTTGTCACCTGTTCAAACCATCACCCTTCCATCCTCTCAGCTCTCCAGTATTCACAGGGAAATAATAGAGCCCAAGAAAGTAAGCAAGTGTTCATTTGTCTGAAGGACCACCTCAGAAGAGAAGAGACTCGGATATGGAGTCAGTTGTGAGACTTGTGGGAAGGGAGAAAAGAGAATCCAGAAAGGACAGAGATCACTTTTGCTTTTTAAACTTGGATTTTCTTCCTTCTGAGTTTTGCTCCAGCCTTTATTTTGCTGGATGCCTTCCAGCATGTAGAGCACCACTGCCCCCCGTTTCCTCTGTCAGCCAGCAGATGACGTGGGTGCCTGTTCTAAAAGGATGTTGTTAATGCCACTCCCTTGGCATTTTGTTACCTGTTGAGAGGATGTATTAGCCCTTGCTAACTCTACAGTGAAAAGAAATGCTCAGACCAGGGAGCATTAGGAAGGAAGAAGAATTAAAAAGAATAAAGAAAGGACAAACACTGTCGATTTTCCCAATGACACAAAAAAGTCAACTTATTGACTGTTTTGCTTAACTCCCTGTTACCAGGGACCCTGACAGTACACTTTACTCTGATACAGTATCAGGGAGGGAGAGAGGTGGAGGTATAAATTAATCTATTGTGGATGATTTATGTGACAGGAAGTGCATTGTCTTAAAGCAGTTTCTTAATTGGGAAGAGCACTTAGGTACAGATTTGGTGGCAGCTACTTCTCTTAGTTTCTTCCAAACAACTGTTTGACAACAAAACATAGTATAAAAAAGGTCTGAAGAATATAGTCTTAATCTGTTAAGGTGTAAAGCATATAACAAGTATTATCTCCACCTCAGCATTTCAGTGATGTATAAAGGAGGTAGATTCTTGAGATTGTGGGCCAGGTCCAATACCAGTGCTTCAGTGGTAATGAACAAATATCCTGTTTGGCATCAAAAACCTTTTGTATTGCTGCAAGTAGAATACCCATGCTCTGAAAAGCTTGCCTAGCAGAATCTAATCACTGGGTTAGGTGTAGAGCACATTTTTTAAAGAAAAATTAACAACTGGCTTCTAGTCATGTAATAGTAAAACCCAAGAAAACCTATGTTCATCTTGTGCTATTTTTATTAAGAAAGAGGTATCTGTTTAAAGGAGTTTTGGGAGGAGAGAGGAGGCAGCTAGCTCCTTTGATGGCTTCTCCAACTACACTTAGTAGCAGGTTAAGCAAAATTACCACCCTCACTACAGGTAGAGCTAGTAACTGTTCAATATTTTCCTGTTTTCACAGCAAACCAAAGAGAGGGTGAAGTTGTTGATACAGCTGGCTGATGGCTTTTGTGAAAAAGGGCATGCTCATGCAACAGAGATTAAAAAATGTGTCACAGCAGTGGATAAGAGGTACAGAGACTTTTCCCTGCGCATGGAGAAATACAGGACCTCTTTAGAGAAAGCTCTGGGTATTTCCTCTGATTCCAATAAATCGGTAAGAGAAACTAGTGTGTGATGACGGACAAATAAGCTTTGCTTGCATTTAATTTAGCTATCATTTTCTCCTGTTTCCTTGCTTAATCAATTCTTCCTTTATTTAATAAAGAGCAAAAGCTTGCAGCTTGATATAATCCCAGCCAGTGTCCCTGGGTCAGAGGTGAAACTGCGAGATGCTGCTCATGAGCTTAATGAAGAAAAACGAAAGTCTGCCCGCAGGAAAGAGTAAGAAATTTATTCATTTATGATCAATGAGAATGCATAAATCAGTCCTGATGACGAAACAACTGTCATGGATTGTCTGGCACCTTAGAAATTGGATAAATGATAAAAATAGCCAGATATTTCTCAATAGCTCCTATTGATATTTATTCATGTGTGATCTCTCAGATTATTCTACCATGTTAGAAGCTTATACTTTCAAAACTATGTCAGACTTCTTTTAACATGCTTTTTTATTTTTAGAAAAAATGTTAAATGTGTAAGGGGAGGAGGGAAGACAACAGTTAAATGACTGTAGCAAGTGGAAAGCAGTTGAGAGAAAAAAATCCATCTTCTTCCCTATTTCTTTTTGCATTGGTTAGTAGTGGAGGGATATTACCTCATGTTTCCTTCATCTCTTGTCTCTCTTCACATTTCAGTTCTCTTATTTTTCTTGCAGCAGTGCAAAGCTAATGAGGAGAAAGATATATTCTCATTATTATGCATTCATAATGATCTAACAGAATGAGATTTGATTATTCTTTCTATTGTCACCCAAGGTTCATTATGGCTGAGCTAATTCAGACAGAAAAGGCTTACGTAAGAGACCTCCGGGAATGCATGGATGTAAGTTCTCTTTTTTTCACTAATCTTTGAAGACAGGATTCAATCCATGGCTTTCTTTCTAGCTTTAACAGCCAAGCATTATTGGTTTGCAGTCGTAGGACCAAATTAAGCATCTTTTGTGCTACTAAGAAAAAATTCAGAATTACGTCTGGTAACAGTAACTTCGGAAATCATCGTGTATGTTTTGCTCTTGTCAGTACTGAATTTCGCCATTTGTTCTTTCCCCAGTACATAAACGTGTAGGGTTTTTTTGTTGTAGAGAGGGGAGGGAGAAAGGAGGGGTTTACTTTATTTGCTTTGCTAGCAATAGAGGAGAGCTTGTGTTAATTCTCTTATTATCTGTATCACATGTTCTGCTACTAGCTTGCTTTTTGAATAGAAATTCAGAGAGATTCCATGGAAAAGTGCCCAGTAATTGTTATGCTGAAGCAAGTAATGTTCAGTGTTAGCTGTTGCACGCAGCATGAACTTCTGGATTGCAGACGTGACCTTGATAAGTAATATCCTGAAGCATTAGAGGTTGTCAAGAATACTATGCATTTTAAATTATGATGTCTCGGGGACTATGTTAAGTTGTCAGTTTTAAAACTTGGATTTTACTGTCAAAATCACGAGGTGTATTTGACACAACAGGTACTGTCACAGTTGGAGATGATGATGCTGCGTGATCTTTCCCTGATTTCACTCCAGGAGTGCATGCTTACAGATACCTGTGTGCTTCTGTTCAGTTTGTCATGACTCTTTACGAATCTTTTTTCTTCTGGTCAGACATATCTGTGGGAAATGACAAGTGGAGTCGAGGAGATCCCACCTGGTATTGTAAACAAAGAACACATTATCTTTGGAAACATGCAGGAAATCTATGAGTTCCACAATAAGTGAGTGACTTATCTTCCATTTCCATATTACTGCGAAATCCAAATGATGACAAGAGGGATTTCCTAACAAAAATATTGTGCATATGAATAATGGACATTTTTCCATTAAAAAATCTAGAGTTCTTGCATTGCTAAATTGTTTCAGTTTTTGCTTTTTACAGCTAAGTAGGTACACCATTAGAAACTGTCTTTTTCAGTCTTGAGCATCTTTCAGTTTTTAAGAACTTTTTTGGATATGTTAAAATTTTGCTCTGGGTTTTCGAGCTGTCCTAAAGAGACAGAAACCACTGAATTCCTGAATTCACTAGCATACAGGTATAGCACAGACATCAATTTAATACTCCATCATTCCTTTGGAATCCTCACTCCTGATTTCCGAGTATGACTGCTAGTTAGAAAGTGTCGGGCTCCCTTCTCTTCCTTAGTTCTTTGAAGATTCTGTGGAGATACCCCATAATAGTTACATTTATTTGAGGACAGAGCATGGAAGAGGTTTATACATCAAGTTTCTTCTGAGTGGAATGGTTCCTAAGCAGACGTCTGTACCAGGAGTCTTGCTCTGAATCTTCTGGTTTTAAGTCATTGGCATTTGTATTGGGTAATGATTCTTTTGAGCACTAAAAGATAGCTAGCATATTCCAGAACCTGATTTTATAGCCCTTTGTATACTTTTTGTTAACTTACACATCCAAAGAGCAAGGCTCCTTTTTCTCTTGAGATGAAGGCTAAACTTTTCTTGAAACTGAAACAGCAGGAAATCTTCCTGATGGAGAACAGCAGCAGTTATTATTTTTTTGTGTACTCTTATGTATTAACTGCGTGTCTGCTGGATTAATTTCTGATTTTCACATCAGAATTTCTATTGAATTACATTTTATATTAGTTTTGTTATTACACATTTTTATCCATTCCAGTTATCCTAATTTCTTTAACTCATGCTATTGGTATGAATTACAGCAAGTTTTCTAATTGCTTTTTCTCACAGACAATAGATGAATATCAGCTGCTCTGATGGAAGTGTTTCATGTGTCTTACACTTTTGTTTCTTTTCTACCCATAGCATATTCCTCAAGGAGCTAGAAAAATATGAACAGTTACCAGAAGATGTTGGACACTGCTTTGTTACTTGGGTAATGAAATCGGCCTTAGGTTTAGAAGTAACAAGGGAGATAGGAAGCATGAAGGGATGGATTCTTGCTCTCTGGTCCCTTTTTAATTTGTAAAATTTGTAAAAGTATGTATTTTAGTAAATTTAGTAAATTTTAATAAAAATGTATGCATCTCTAACTGGGAAAAAAAATATTGAAGACACTGCTGTCAAATGCCAGTGCTTAACTGCTCTTGAAGATTTTGCAAATTGCCTAAACCTGTATTCAGGTTTGGTTTGGTATCTTTGTCTTACAAATGAATAATCAACTTCTTCATACTTTTTTTTTTTGGTCTTAATTGCCTGATATATTTTCTTACACTGCCAGTTTGAATGCGAAAATAAATGTGTATAGTTTAATTTTTGAAGAGAGAAGATAAACTCTATTAAAACAGTGTAAAAACTTCTTGCTCTTTGATAACCTGTGTAAATTTGCTTTTTGTTCTGCAGGCAGACAAATTCCAAATGTACGTTACATACTGTAAAAACAAGCCAGATTCTACCCAGCTGATACTAGAACATGCAGGAGCATACTTTGATGTAAGTACTTTGTGTCCACATTTGAATCATATACTTGCAGTTACGCTGAGTGCCTAATTTCTTAAGAAAATGAAAGTTTCCTGCTACTAATGCTGCAATTTAGGGTCACCTTAGGAAGATCGATCTGATATCTCTCATGGTTAACTTATATTGCTCAGTTGGTCACATAAAGCTGTCAAATCAAATATAAAGAGTTGCTGTCACAGATCAGAGCAGTTCAGAACTGGAAGTAAATTCTGGTGGCAATAACTGAGACATGAATCTTCAGCTCTCACAAACACATTCTGTAAATACTAGCATCTTGAGGTGCTTAGTTTGCATTGTATGTAATAAAGATGGAAATCTTTGTTAAATTTTTGGAGCACCTTTACATTGTAATTGTATATTCAGTGAACTGCACCTTGCTTATTCTGTCCCAATGTTACTTTGTGTAATACTCTGCTTAAGAAAGGACCAAAATGTAGCAGCTGTTAGAGGTTTTAGGGTGGAATTTTGGCCACACTAAATGAGTTTTGGTTGAACGTGTATTTACAGATGCTTCAGTTAGAGTGTTTTTGTTTCCTTCTCCACTGTGTTAAGCCACAAGCTTTGTAGTGATGCCACAAATTTTTTTAGAGTTGTCTGTAGAAGTAGATGGAAGGACATAATAGGAAACAAACACAAAAAAGTCTCTGAAGTTCTTGGGACTAATTTCAAAAGCCTGTCACTGAGGTGGGGATTCTAAACATTTGTAAGAAACAGCCTTTCTGTGAAGCCTCTGTTAAGTTTTCAGTGATTGAAGAAGAACAGGTAAGTTAAAGGAAATCAGGCAGATACGACAAAAACACTAAAAGAAAAATTTAGTAAATACTATTACAAAAAATAACAAAGAAAGAGTTCTGATAAAACGGTATTATAAATCAGTTCCTGCACCACCTCCAAAGGAGCATCCTTTGATTCTTCTGTTCTACCAGTGTATCTAGAGCTCTCCATCCCTTTTTAATCCACCTAAAGCGGATTAGAAGTATGAAGACCCAATTCTATGCACAGATAAATGCAGTATCTTCCCTTGTCTATCACTGACCGTGTGAAAATGTCACTTGTATCATACTTTTGGAAATTCTGATACTGTAATCATGGTTAGAAAGCACATAGCTCTGGCATGTAATTTACTCTTTGAAATTGTGGTTAAAATATATCTGATAACCTGACAAATGGCAAAGACTGGCCATGAAGTTCAACTGTGATCAGTACTTCAAATCTTTAATTATAATCTAATCTGTCTTCCTCCTTTAGCTTTGTGGAGCTCATTCTCTTGTTTGTTTGTTTGTTTGTTGTTTAAGTGGCTGTTTTCTTTTTAAGTATTTGGTAACTACTTCAGTTAGAAAATGTTACTTCTTGCTCCCCCTTGTGGGGGAAATGTTTTCTGTGGCTATTAACAGTTAAACTGGCAAGGGATGCTAAAAAACCTCCACCTCGGCCTTCATGTGGGTCATCGTCCTGGTTGTTCCCTGGAGCACGAAGTTTGATTAATTTTCTCTCTTGTGAATAACAAAATAAATGCCTTTGTTGTTGTTTTTTAAAAAGGCATTACCACATTCTCGATAACCTTAATTGATGCTGTTTGTATTTAGGTTTGTTGAAACACTTCACAGGTACCTTTAGAATTATTATTTTTTTTTACAAAGTGAGCTAGCAGATGCACAACATAACCATTTGCTGTGGCTAGAATATCTTGTCATCCTGTGTTTTTTTATTTCTCCTTGCTAACATAGAATATATAGTTCATATGTATTATTATTTAGGCCTCAATGCAGTCTATGTTTGAGTCCTCAAATTTTTGCATTTTTCATGTAGGAGATACAACAACGACACGGATTGGCCAACTCTATCTCCTCTTACCTTATCAAACCTGTCCAAAGGATAACAAAATACCAGCTTCTTTTAAAGGTCAGTATTAATTCAAAGTTCTTAATCTGATTCTGCTCTTCTTAAGAAGGCTAAGCCCTTGGTGAAATCAGGAGGGCTTTTTTACTCTGCAGTGTGAAGCTAAACAATCCTGGGCAGCCTCAGATATTGCTGTGGTATTTTTTTAGGAGACCACTGAAAATTAAAGAAGGCAGAAATAAGCAACTTTTTATCCAGATACCTCTCTGCTAATGTTTACTTAGAAAATATAATTTGCATTTCCAGAGTAAAAACGTAATTCACAGCCATATAGACCAGCACATTTTCATCATGGTTTTTGCAACAAATTTTGGCAAGCCATTAGCTATGGTTTTGATATATGTACTGTACATTATATAATTATGTATTTATATATTAAAAAGTATATTATAAAATATCAATTAAATAGGTAAATATCTATACACATACACTGAGTACCTGTAGAGCTGTTGCACAAACAGTTGTTGCTTGTGATGTTACCTGGAAATGTCAAGTAAAGAGTAGCTGTTAAAATAAACAAAATTTTGGAAAACCTGTAGTTAAAGCTTTCTCTCAGTGGACAGATGTCTTGTTGACTGAGCGGCAGTGTTCTTGAACTGTGTTGGGTCTCTGTTAGTTGACATTGCTTGTTTTGTAATAGCTGCCCATAAAAGCACTGTAGCTGATCTGTGTCTCCCCTTTCTACTCGAGAACTTCCATGGATGATTGTTTTTAAAATTTCTGAAAAACACTGCAGGCTATATCAGGTCAAGTTGGATGGAAGCAAGTCTGGCATTTTTAACTGAAACACACTGTCTGTTCTCCTCTTGCAAAAAGGTGCAACTAGATGAAGTTATAACTTACAGAAATACTCCAGGTTGTGCTGTTTCAGAAGTTTTGGGGTATTGATTTTCACAATTATTTTTTAAAAATGTAAATATGCCTTAGCTGCTACATATTTTAAGTGATGGGATAGATGAGTTTCACTAGTATTTGCAGAGCCAGATGTCTTTACTGCATAGTAAAATGGATTTGGTGACTGCTGGGTTCTTCTTCCTACCCCCACCCCTTCCTAAGAAGAGCAACATAAAACGTGAAAAGGTGGAGAGCCCAAAACTTGAATGATAGCTGAAACATTTTAGAGTTCTGGAAGTTCTGCTTATTTTTCTCAATGGTATTGAAGCTGCTCATCTTTTCTGCCTCCTGGGGGATATTTAGCTACACTCACTTTTTTGTGGAGTCGTAATGCAAAATTTAAGCATAATGATGCAGTTTTGCTGTGATGGTGATATTGGCACTCAAAATAGTGTAATGATGATAATTGTAGAAATCACCTGGCTTGCTTTCTACAAGGGAAAAGGAAATTTAACCCTGAGGGAGTGAATTAAGTGGACTCTTTGAATAATAGAAGGAATGTAATATACCCTCTAGGTTACGTAAGCTATGTTTTATCTTGATACTGTTCAAATGCTGAACGGATGTGAGGAAATTTGAGTATCAGCTCAGGCACAGTTATGTTAGTATCTGTGCAATGTTGAATGGGAAGGGAACTGCATCGCCTTAAATTCACTAAAAATTTTCAGTATATTCCATTCTGTAACTTGTGTCCATTAGTTAATGTGTGTTTGTATTCAAAAGTTTTGTCTGTAGGATGTTTTTTAATTGTGAGCACACAGAACAGAGTAATTCACTGAATACTTGAAAGAATGTAAATCCTCTTAGCAGCAGTAGTACAGAGTGAGTCTTTGGTGCAGTGGAGCAAAGCCTGACATGAGGGTGTGTCCTTTTGTGCTGTCCTGCTTTCCACCATCTTCTTGACTTGGCAGCTGTGTTCTGGGCCTTGATGTAGCACTGCACCTCATAGCTGTGCCTCTGATTATCTGAAAAAGCATTGTCCTTAATAAGAAATCTTTGAAAGTTACATTAACCAGATGATCTTGTTTAAATTAGAGGTGACTGACTAAAAGCTTGGGCTGATGATGATAAATACAAAGTATGCTGTCATGTCATTGGCAGAGTAAAAAGTTCAAAAAGATGCTTTGTGCCAAAAATGATTCTCCATTTGTTTGAAGTAGTATTTGGTTGTCTATTGTATTAGTGTAGAAAATCATAATAGAGTGTACTCATGTCTGCTCTCCTTTTGCAGGAGCTGCTAACGTGCTGTGAAGAAGGTAAAGGTGAGATTAAGGATGGCCTGGAGGTGATGCTTAGTGTGCCAAAGCGAGCCAATGATGCCATGCACCTCAGCATGCTGGAAGGTAGTATTCAAACTGGCTTTCCAGATCAGTTGTATGCTGTAGATTAACTTTGTTTAATAACTTTTTAGGTTATTACATGTTGAAAAGACTGGAAGAATGTGAACATTGTCTTATCCCTGTATTTTTATTCTATACGTATTTTATTTGGAAGTATATATTTAGAAAACTTTTTTAGGAAATTTAATTGTGTCAGAAAACTGGTACAACTTCGTTAATTTTTAAAATGTTCTTTCCTCCTGACTCATAGCACTGCCAATGCAGACTTGAAAAATATGTAGGGTAACACAGTTTTACATTACTTACCTGAAATGTAATAGGTGAATGGTCAGTTTCAGCTGCATTTTTCAACCAGTATCCTTGGCTTTTATATATGAGGAGTGTAAGTGTATTAGATGTGATTTTGCTGATTTATGTATCAAATAATCATCTCCAAGAAGTTTGTCATTTTTCACATCTGGTTGCCTCCTGTTCCATAACAGACTTATGCTTGAAATTAAATATATCGACATAAGCCAATTTAGGCTGAACCTTAGCCAGACCAGCACAGTCATGTTCATGGCACACAGTGGAGGTTGGGTGCAAGTGCTTCTATGTGCTTCAAACAACTTTCTGCCAAAATCTGTTTTGTAACTAGCATGTTATCATGTATGTTGGTGCCATCAATTAGCAATTAAATTACTAATAATACTGTTTTCTTTGTCATTTAAATTTTTTGAGATAAAAGCAGAGCCGCCTTACCTCGCACTTGCTGAATAAAGATTTATAGGTGCTTTTAGTCAATATTCCTCCTCTGTGCCTTCTAGTAGTACAATGGAGCCTATAATGGAATTTCCAGTATGGTGTAAGTTACTATAAAGTTTCCTCATGGTTTGTCATGTGATCCTCAGTCACATGAATGCTCAAAATCACCTTTCAATGTTTGTCAGTTTGCAGGATCAGTTCCAACTGCTTTGTTCACGAGATGGTATTAGTATAAATGCTGACTGGCATTGGTCATAATCTTTTAACATGGGGAATGTGACTTTGGAGAATATCCTCATCTTTTACATAAGTTGGTTTTATAACAAATGATGCATGTGTTGTTGAATCATCCCATGTTAGACAAATATAGTGAGTGAGCACATTTCCTCTTTATATCTCTGGAGGATTTTGAATGAACATCCTGCTGCAACTTGCCTTTGATGCTCCCCATACTCTTGCCCTGTTTAGAACAGTGAGAACTGCTGTTTTCTTGAGGAGGATGGTGCTCTTCTGTTCTGAGAATATTGGCAAGCAGAATCTGTTTTAAAATGCAGCTTAATACCACTCAGAAGAGTATGGTAGACTAATTTATGTTATCCTGCAATTCTAAAGGTGTGTATTAAACTGAGAGAGCATGGTACCACTACAATGGAAGTAAAATTGTTGATATTATCAATCTTCATTTTACATTATGTGTCAAGATAAGTAATCCAGCTGCTATTTCTTTATTGTGGATGAATGTTGGAGTGACTCAGTGGCAGGCTGATCATGTGGCAACAGCTCCAAGCTGCCATCTTTATTCATCCTCTATTGGAATATGTTTGCACGCTCATTGCATACGTAGTAGGGGAAGTGTGCCACCAGAAAAGGTGGCATTTGGGAGCTTGCTGATGTCAGAATAATGTGATGTTGCAGTGTCCTTGCAACTTGCTCACTTTCTACAGTGGCAGAAAGCTGATGGGAGAAATAATTTCCATCATGGAAGAGGTTACCAGAATACGACTTAGATCTGTCGTTTATTGGTGAAACATTACCAGAGGAGTTGATAAACTTATTTACAGTGGGTCTAAATTTAAACTTAGACGAGCTACAGTTACATTTAGTATATTGCAATCTTGAAATAAAGTTGTGTTTTTAATATTGCTTCCTTGGAATCTCGTATTTTTCAAGCTGTATTTAGAAAAAAATTAGATCACTTAATAAACAGAAGCTGTGCTTTTTAATTTCCTCATATTATCAACTTTGCATGGTGAACTGTTCTTCTCCCTGGGTTTTTAGGCTTTGATGAAAATATAGAATCTCAGGGAGAGCTCATCCTTCAAGAATCCTTCCAAGTGTGGGACCCCAAAACTCTAATTCGAAAAGGAAGAGAAAGGCACCTTTTCCTTTTTGAGATGTCCTTGGTTTTCAGTAAAGAAGTGAAGGACTCCAGTGGAAGGAGCAAGTACATTTACAAGAGTAAACTGTTTGTAAGTATTGAAGAAAAAATGACCATATTTAGAAAACTGTCTAGGTTAGATTAGATTGTGACTAAGCTCAGATGATTTAAATGTGCCTGGAGAACTTGAACAGCTATTGTAATGCACTAGAAGAGCAGCCTTGGAATATGTAGACTGAATCTTGTAAATTTGCTGCTTTTGAGGAGAAAGAGTAGGCTGAAAGCAACTACTGAAGGCTACATGTGAATCTTGGTGAGTCAGGACAAAGGAAAATCAAGATTGGGCTGAATTGATTTTGTGTTGTGTGTTTGATTGCTGGTTCTTTAAGGCTTATTTGTATAAAACAAAATCATGGAAGGAGTTAACAAGCTTCCTTCATCTTGTTTGTGTGCTGTTACTGTTGTAGCGATATCCATGTTAAGGATTAATTTTGATGGATAGTCTACACATACTGATCTGGAAAGGCAAGAACACCTTGTTATGGAAAAGTTAATTTCAGAATGTCTACTGAGACTAGTAGTCTTACAATAGTATTTTGTAAATAAAATTATACCACTTACGGTCTACTGAAAGGTTATAAAGATGGAATTTTTTTCCTCCCCAATTAAAAAAAAAAAATAAATAAAAAAATCTGCTATTTTCTTATCCCTAGAATGTATGCTTTACAAAATCTGACCCTGGAATTAGCATTCCCTTCCCTTACTGTCTCATTGAATGACTTAGGAGAGAGTAGTGTTCACACTAAATTTAGGTAGCCAAGTGAGACAACAGTCTCCCATGGATTGCTCTGCTTCTGCCAGAGGCTAGATTAGCTTTTCTACCAGACCAGTTTAGAACAAGTTCTTGAAATTATTTTACTTCTCAGAATCACATTCTACAAGACATTATTCTTCTAGTGATGCTATTGGGATATATGACTAAGTCTAGATGCTATAAATACTGAGCCTTTTCTCTCTGCTTCAGCCTCCTTTTCTGTCACTTGTTCCCCCTTTCCACCTCTGTGTCCAAACTGGTAAAGCTGGTTGGTTCAAAAAAACCTTTTTTCTCTATCTTACTTTGCATATTCTGTCACTTTGTTTCCAACACTTGCTCTCCTTCCTGATTCAAGGAAGCTAGAAGGTAAAATAGCAGCTATTCTGTTGATCACACCTTTCTTTGATGAACCCAAGAACTTGCAGAGTATCTTTGTCTTCATATTCTGTTTGGCAAAATAATCATGTAGTGCAGCTTACTATTATAGCAGTTCTTACAGTCTGATACTTAAAAAAGGCATTCATATGAATGTTGAAAGCATGCAGGTTGATTTGAGCTAAAGATACATTTTTATATTCAGTCTCCTGCCTCTGGAAGGTTGTTATACAAAAGTGAGGTCTTTTGCTTTACTTTGGGCATGATGGCCATCATGATTTCCCCAGCAGAGGATACTCAATGGCAAGACCTGTATTTGTGCAAAAATGTGTTAATGAACTCCTCTGACAAGAGATAGTGTCCAAAAGCAAATGCCTAGGAGGGGCAAAGCAGCTGTTGCTTTGCTAGGATGCTCTACCAGTCACTAGTAACTGGCAGTGCACGGGTTTCCTCACCTGAATGTGGTTTCTATGCACTCAGTCACCTGTAAGAAATTTCTCTTCTGCGAGCTTGTCCTTGGACCTCGTTTACAGTGTCCTTTGGCAGTTGTATTGCTCATGACAAATTGGGCACAGGCCAACCTCCCTGTGTTGGGTTTTGAACCAGACTCCCTTCCACTAACTTCACTTGATGTCTGCCAGTATTGAAAGGGATGGTGAACAACATATGTCAGCCTTGCTGTTCCTTACTGTACACACCTCTAATGCATTGTCCCTCAGTTGTCACTTGTAAAAATAACATTCACAAGTGTGAAGGACTTCTGAATTTACTAGGGTTTAAAAAATAAGCTACATTAAAAATTATATGATCTTGCCCATTCAGACTTTGTAGAGGGCAGTGCAGTAGGGTATATTTTCTTCTTAATTACTTAATGTAGTGTTGGATTAAGTATCTTACAAGCTTTTTAACACACATAGGAGTTGTTGGTGAATCAATTTTAAAATGTATCACAGGCTTTTAAGTATTTCAAGACTTAAGTATTTCACTACTTTAAATATTAAAGCTGAAAGTGCAGATGTGTTGGATTGGGGTATTTTTAGGAAAAACCAACACAAGCTGGCATCCAAGAGAGAGGAGAAAAAAAATTACTTGGGTACTGTGTATCCAACATCTCTTCTAATTAACAGTGTATGTGTTCATAATAATGTGTGTGAGGGGAAAAACACAGCTTCTATAAATGTAAGATAGCTCAGCAACTGTCTTCTGGAATGAAAGTTCCCATAGGTTGAGCTACATTTCTTAGTTTGTAATTTATTTATTTTTTTAGAGCAGGGCCTATATGAATTGTTTACTGGAAGCCAGTTCCCATGATTGAGATGTTGTTCCAGTTGGAAAGTGAAAACGTTTTGGATGATAATTAGCTAGTTAGGTCTGACATTAGAACATTCCCAGAGACTGACTGTTAATGTAGTTGTCCCACAGAATTCTCCAGGGAAACTGCATTTCTGAATTATTCAATCTGTTTCAGAGGGAAGGAAACACATGAGGAAAGGTTCATTTGGCAGAAAAGAGATCGGAGTTTTAGAAGATAGCAAGAGAATTCTTAAGTGTATCTTATCTGAGAGAAAACATAAAAATCAGTAAGAAGTAGTCATTGTCTCGTGATGGAAACCAACACTTAGTTTTTACCAACCATTTTTTTAGAGTTATAAGACTTTATTGTCAAGTTAAAAAATGTTAAATAAACAATTTGGTATTTCAGATTATAAATACTACTGTTTATTGTTACTTTACAAGAAAAACTGTTTAGCTTGCAGTTCTTCCTTTTTGAAGAATCCCCACCATGGCCACCAGAATAAAGGATTCTCTCTAACACAAGTTAACCTTTAGCTTCTAAAACTGTCTTAAAACATCAGAGCTTAATTACATAGAATGTTAGCATCCCTTTGTGACTTCTGAGAAAAAAAAAAAAAAGCCATGTCTTCCTAACAATTTTTAATTAATTCCAGACTTCTGAACTGGGTGTTACAGAACACGTAGAAGGAGATCCCTGCAAGTTTGCTCTATGGGTTGGAAGGACACCAACGTCAGACAACAAAATTGTTCTGAAGGTAATTCTAGTAGATGTGCTTGTACAGTCTATATTAAGTTGTGTAGCTGTTGCTCATACGTGTTGGAAAGGCAGCAAGTGATGACTTTTCCTGCTTTGAGAGGGACAGCTGCTGACATAGTTTTCCTTTGTGTGTAAAGGATGTGGTTTATATCGTAACTCTTGCGACTTCACAGCAAAGGGGAATCTGTGTGGCCTACTTAAACAAACTTGCTTTCACCAGTCAGAGTAGGAAGGTGTTTGATCTCATGTACTTCTTTAACTTGACGACTTCAGCCACTAGCTGACAGGGCAACTGATATGCCACAGACAAATTATGGCATCAGTGCCACATATCACGCTCAAGTCATTGCTGCTTGTTGGTGATGCTGTTTTTCATGGCCCATATTTTTATGTAGAAATCAAAACACTGCAAAAGATTTTTACATCTTTCTGTGGGCTACAAGTTTAAGTAGATGGTTGCCTTTGGGTCACAATGCATGCAACGCCTATAGATTTTGTGTCTGGGGAAGTTACAGGTGTCAGTAGTGTTCTCTGCCTAGTGAGGAGAATGGCTAAATCCATTTTTCCTGTGACTGATACATAACCTGGGACCTACAGTTTCAACTGGAGAACTTTTTTTGTAATACCACAAGCAACTAAAGGGTAATTTGATGTATTCTGAGGACTGTCTCAGCTTTTAACCTTTTCTTTTGTATCTCTTAGCTGTGTTGAGCTGAAAAAAAGTTAATCTTCCCATTAAACTTTGATATATTTTCACATATGTATTTGGTCATTACTAATAATGTCTCTTAAAAATGGCCACTCAAATTTACATGTTGCCACTAAAATCTGTGTTTTTCTAGTGAATTACAGGCTAAGAACAGCTCACATTAATTTTGTGACAGTAGTCAGTGAGTGCAAAAAAATTAAATGTTATATCACTGAATAATACAATTTGTTCAGTCTTAACACTCCATAATTTAACATACAGTGCATTGCATCCTGAAATTATCCTCCCAGGTAGAGCAGTGTAGGAATTCTGTTTAACGGCTCTCTATGTAAGGTCACTTTCAGGTGTTCTTGTTCTCTTCTCTGCTTAAAGCATAAGCTGTTTAGATAATTGTATGGTATATGAAGCTTTTAAACAATTTTGTTGATTTTTCGGGGGGGCTTGTTTTTGCACTTCCTTACGACATTAGTATTGTAAGTAAATTCCATGAAAACCTATATGAAAAATTGAACAAACCATGGTGTTTGGTTTCTTTTCCTAAATGTTTTTGTTTGTGAAAGAGATCAAAGATATTTTTCCTAACTGTTCATCTGTGTCTGCAACTTTCTCCATTCCTTTAGAATCCCTGGTAATTAAATGTTTATAGTGTATTAAATATTTGTAATATTGAATTGAAATAAATTTTTTCAGGAGACAGCAACTAAGAAATGTAGGGAATTTTTGCACATCTAAAAAAAAGGTTATATACAGTGTTGTCATAGAATCATAGGATGGTTTGGGTTATAAGAGACCTTAAAGATAATCTAGTTCTAACCCACCTGCATGGGCAGGGACACCTCCCACTAGACCAGGTTGCTTATAATGCTTATATTTAATAGCATTTCAGGCACAGGATAAAATAGGATTAAACAATCAGATTACAGCTTGGGCAGCTGGATGTCAAGTCTTTTCCAGGGTAGCTCAAAAACATAGATGCTATGTTGCAGGCAGTTATTAAAATACAATCCTTAAATTAGCTTTCTGCTTCTGGGTATGTTTCAAAAGTAGGAAGAGTAATAATACATTAAAAGTAGTGTGGAAGTACATGTGTTGCAAAATCAGTTAATTTTTCTTTTAGTGTTATTAGATTATTAAGTTAGAATTGACCTAAAATATAGCATGACTTTAAAATACCAATGTTCAGGGTGTTATTATTGGAATTCTTTAAGTAAATCCTCCCTGTCTTGCATGAAATGCATACAGGGCTTTACCCTTCAAGTTATGAAAGAACAACCTGAATCTAAAATAAGATGGTTTTTAAACAAAAAATACTAATAATGTTGAGAAGTGTAAAATAGTGTTTCTAATTCAAAACTAACACAACAAACTTGCATTTCCTTTTTTCTATTCAAGTTTTCAAAATTTATTCACAGAGTTACTCTTTATACCTTCTTCTTTGTGTTTAGTAGCTGACTGTATATGTGTATCTTCTCAGCTATAAGGGTCCATTGTGGGGATTTTGTTTCTTTTGCATATCAAAGGCATCCAGTATAGAGAATAAACAGGACTGGATCAAACACATCCGGGAAGTGATACAAGAAAGGACCATTCATCTGAAAGGAGCATTGAAAGAGCCGATCCACATCCCCAAAACTGCACCAACAACAAAACAGAAAGGAAGAAGGTAAGTACTATGTAAAATAATCAGTGATCTCTAAGTACACAACAGCACTCTTCCCTCTGTAGTGTTGACTTTCTAATGACTTTGAGCAGATTGGACAACTCTTTCCTCTTTAGTGTTGAATTTCTAATGACTTTGAGCAGATTGGACAAAAGCAAGAGTCAGTTCGACCAGCTTTATCTTGTGATTAATTTCCAGTTTCCTGCAATGCTGAATTTGTTGAGATTTCTGCTCTGAACAGTCCCTGACTTGTGTACATTCAGTCATTACAGAAGGGATTTGGAACTGCAGTACAAGATAGCTGTACTTTTTAGATTGTTACAGTTCTGCATGTGTTGTTCAGTTGCTTAGCTTCCTTTCACAGATCTTAAAATGTGTGACTGAGTGTTCTGCTTGTTAGCTTTGGCTAAGTGGCTGTGCAAGTTTCTTGCCATAGTTCTGGCTAGTTGGTTTTTGCCTTAATCCTACATGACGTAGACCTTGAGCAAAAGAATCTTAAAACCTAGAAAAAAAGTATTAAGTGCTGAATATTTGAGTTTTGCATCAGTTAGTTTTATCTGGCTGGTGTTCTTTGCAACTTTGTCTAGGTGCCCCTTTGTTATTGTTCCAATAGGGAACTAACACGTTGCAGACACAATGCTAATATTGTAATAAAACCTGAATTATTTGCAGAGACGGCGAGGACCTGGACAGTCAGGGAGATGGTAGCAGCCAACCTGATACTATTTCAATTGCCTCACGAACCTCCCAGAACACACTAGACAGCGATAAGGTAAGTTTCCCTGGTGTTGCTCTGTTCTGACAGCAAATGATTCATCCCATAATGTGAGATAGCTCCCAAAATTTGTCCTTACTACCTCCAGAGAGGATGCATGGAAATATTCAGTCTCTGAAAAATAGCTGTATGCAATCCAGAAATTATCTTGATAACCTGGTGGAGCAGTGATGATTGTTTACATCTAACACGTCTTGAAGGAATTATGTTTTTTCCAAGCTGAAACCTTTTAGTCCCCTGTCATCTTCAGGTTGTTCAAAGCTTTGACCCACTTTTAAAATAAAGTCTTATTTTCCATAAAGTTTTATACGCATGCACAGAATTTTTCTTGATGTCATTCTCAAACTTGCTGAAAGCATGTCATCTGCTTTTTGTATTACCTTGAGGTTGGCGGCTGCCGTGCAATTACTGTTGTGAAGGACAGACACTGTCCGGTCTTCGTGGGTTAGAAAGTGTGTTCACCTTCTTTGTGAGAGCTGATGGAAATGACCATTTTAAAGAGGACTAACCTACAATGCTATCTATGCTACTAGTGCTAGGGTTCCCTTTCCTCTTCCATCTCTACCCATAGATTCTGACTGGGTTATCCCATAAGGATAACCCAGCTGTAGTATCTCATGGGTGGAAGTAAGATAGGCATCAAAAGAGTAATGGTTCTTATGTGAAAGATGGGTCTGTTATTTTGGAATTCAAAGAAGATTTGCAAGTGACAAGTGTTAGGGCCTTGGAGGGAGTTGTAGAGAAAGATAATGAGAGCTTGTCAAAGAGAAGAATGAGTTAAAACATAGAAGCTGTCTAGCAAATTATTTGAAAACATGGTTAGGAATTTCTGGCCTATTACTGCTTGGGGTAAAATTGTTCTGATGAGCCGCTTAAACTGCACAGGTAAATAATCAGTGTATTACAGGGCAGCTATGTGAATAGGTTCTCAGAGTAATATTTTGACCATTCTCATCATGATCTAAAAGAGAGTTAGTTTTCTGTGTTTTTGCATCTCATTTAAACTCTATGTTTTTAATTTTTCCCTGTAAAGACAGCAACAGGAGAAGAATTACAAGGTACTTACAGTTGCTCTTGTATTTGTCAAAAATAGCCCATATTCTGAGCTTGTGCATTTGCACTGGAATTGGTTTGTAGTTTTGGTGATGGTTTCTTCTAAGGATATCTGTAGTGAAAATGGTTGGTTAGAGAAAAAAAAAAACAAAACTCTTTCGATGACTCTTGTTTTGCAGTTTTATTTTTTGTATTCTTACTGAGCGATGTAGTGATTTACAAAGACTATATTGTGTGTACAGGCAAGCAGTTTAGGGGTTTTTTGTGTTGTTTTTTGGGAGGTGTTTTGTTTTGTTCTGTTTTTATGTGTTCTTAACAGTTTCAGTAATCTATCACACTCAAAAGCAAGACATGGTCTCTCTCATTTTCCTGTGTGCCTCCAGGCTGGCTAGACTGTGCTTCAATTCAAATGGAGGTGATGCCATCTATCCATGCCACGCACAACCATTACCCTCTCCAGTTGTTTGTGATGTACAGTTCACTAGGGAGTAGCATGGATTGTCTCCTCTTGCCCCTCCTCTAATATTTCATGTATGATGTGACAACTGCTGAGAAAACTGGCCAAGTGAAATACTCTCAGGATTGTCTTCCAATCTGACATGAGGAGGAGTCTTGCCAACAACCTGTTCAACAGGAGTTATAAGAACGAGAAATAGAGAAGGCTTTTAAATACAAATTGAGTTTTAAAGTTGTTTAGTGAGCATAGTGTTGTTTTTAAAGTAGTTTTGAGTTCTCATGTTAGTGTACAAAATTTTTGTTAGACTTTTCTTTGACAAGAAAAACAAACTGAAAATTTGGAAACTCCCTGGAAGTTATTTGTGCTAGGTATTGTGTGTCCAAGAAAGAAGTTTACTGTTTGTGCACTTTTAAAAGGTGTGTGAATTAGTATAATAGCTTTTTTTTTATGTTTATATTATGTGTTTTGACTTGTTAAAGACATTAAGAAGAGAACATTTTTAATTTGTTTAAAATACAGAATACAAACTGCTAAGGATCTGCAGCAGGCAGAAAGCCAGTGAAATCTGTAGGATATCTTAATGCTTGCTGAATCTGAAGTAATCTCTCACTTTGTATGTTGAAAATCCATTAGCTGCAGTCCATTTGGGGCTTAACATTTACTCCCTTTTCACACCCTAGAAGACTGAAGAATGTATGAATGTCTTACAGAGGTGGAGTAAAACAGTTTTAGGGACTTTAAGTGCTGTTGATGTGGTTAGCCAGATGGAGTAGTGGAACTCCTCAGTTGAATTTGAAGAATGTCCCAAACTGAGCTAGGTTTCCAACTGAAACATTTAAAATATCCAGTAATTTTAAATAGTGTTAATGAAGTAGTAAAAATGTTCAGCACTGTAGCACTTACTATGCTGAACATTTTTCTGTTCATTTGTGTCTACCGCTGTGATTAAGAAAAGACAACAAATAGCAAATACCATACTAATCAACAGTGACGTAAAACTGTTTGTTTTCTCCAACTATATGTTCAGTTGATTATTTTAAAATAAATGTTTTGGTTAGAAGTACTAAACTGTTATACAGGGAGACTATAAAAAATTAAATCCTTTATCCACAACTCAGTATTCTTTCTGACCTCCTCAGAGGTCAGCTTTGGAAAAGCTAAAAATCCTTAATCTTGGTAGTAAGTGGTTGAATATTATCCAAATGATATTCTTTCCTTGCATCCTGTTTTGTGACGTAATTGGAAATGCCTTAACAGAGAATAACCTAGTGATTAGCTTTTTTCTTCTCCACCCTGGCTTTTTGGGCTAGAATTGTAACCTTTCATTGTTGGCTCCACTGCTGTGTTGCTTTTGAGTAATGACTGGGATGATGCAATAGACCATATGTTTATAAGACTGACATGCTTTCCAGCTTCTTGTCAACTGAAAAGCAGAATTAAAATTCAGCATCATCTTAGAAAATGAGATAAATTAATTGGCAACAAATAATTCAATTTAATAGGAACATGTTTGAGCTAATGTAAATATGTGGAAATAGTTAAATACTAATGAAAACAGTGAGAATGTTAATAGTTTTTTGAGAAGATGATCTAGAAGCTATAGAGGCTCACAAGCTGTTTATTATTTTGAGTGTGATGTAATTATGAAGGGGGAGTAGGAGGGGAGCAGTAGTATATTGGCTTGTAGAAATAGGATGTTGAGCTGTAGAACATGAAGTCCATGTTCTTTACTCAGCACTCGTAACGCCTCTAGTAGATGCTGCACCCAGTTTTGAGAATTTTGGCAAATTAGTGAGCCATTGGAAGAGTTCCAGGGGAAGAAAAAAAAACAACCAAAAAAACTCAAACACAAAACAAACAAACAAAAAACCCAAACAACAAAACAAACAAAAACAACTAATGAGACATCTACCAAACATAACTTAAAAGGCAACAGATAGAGTCAGGACTAATGAGTCTAAGGAAAAAAGGGAGGAGGAGAAACTTCAGGTCTTTAAATGTGTAAAAAAGCTATTATGAAGAGTTACAATTCAGTCTTTTATCTGTATTTTCAGCAGATGGGATGAGATGAAAGGACTTATCTTTAATAAAAGATTGCAATAATACATATTTTTTATGGGTTTTAAAATGTGAAACCATAGAGCAGACTAGTTGTGAAGACTGGGGAATCTCTGTAACTCCAGATCTTCGAAAACTGTGGATAAATGTTAATCATGATTCATATAGATGTAGCTGATCATGATCTACAGGAAGAGAAGGAAGTGGACTAGGTAACTTAAGATCCCTTTCCAGCCTGATTTTAATACCATAGGGTGTATCGTCATACTGAAAGACATGCTAAATATAACCACAGCACTGACCCAAGCTGAAGTATTGCAAGTTGCAATTGAGTCCAGAGTGAAATATAAAAATTTTTGAGATGAAAATTTCTACTCCATCATAGCATCTTGTTTTTTCTGAATTGAGTGTTCTTACTGTATGTTTCTTTCTCAGTAGGTATTTTGTCCTTAGCCTTTCACAGCATTCTCTCCTTTTATCTTCTGTAGCAGTGTGATGTTTAGGTGGCTAATGAATAAAAGAGATGACACTTGGCCCGTTCATTCCGCCTTTCAAGAGTTCCTAGCCTCAGAGCTTGAGCTGATTTTGAATTTGAGCCAATGTATAGGAAATTAAACTGGTAGGCTGAAGGAAACAATGTACATCTGATAGGTCTTTTCATGCCTATATTAAGAGAACTGGTAGAAACATTAAATAACCCAAACTACTGAGAAGATGAGAAGCTTTTATAAGAAAGGCTGTCATAGGGTGTTATCCTAAACAGTAGGAATTGTGCTAGCTGCTCTGGGTGGTCAGTGGAGCAATATTTTATCTTTAACAAATTGCCTTTTGTGCCCAGCTGGTAACACTTTGTACTGCTATGTGAAGTTGTGTTTCATTCCCATGTTCTTTAAGCTTGTGTGTAGTACTTTGGAAAATAGAAGAAGGACTGAAGCAGCAGGAGACAAGCAAGTATTTTGTTCTGCCAGCTAAGACCGCAGAGAAGACGACTCCCACCAGTAGAAAAAATGCTAATAAAAAAACCTAGACATAGTGCTAACTATATGCCTCTTTTTAGATTCAAAAACCAAGTCTGGGCATCTACCTGGTCAAAGCAAAACACTCCCTGTTTGAGATAGAACTTTTGTGGGTCTCTTACTTCTTTCCTCCCACAGTACATGTTTCAATTTTAAAAGGGGACTAAAGATTTTCAGGCTTGAAATAATTAAGAAAACTTACTAGCCTACTCTCTTTCCTTTCCCTTCTTTTCAATGTAAAATTACCATGGGAGAGCAGACAAAATTTAATTTGCAGTCCTGAGACAAGGTTATATGGCTTGATGTAAAGACCGTTCTATGTGGCAAAACTCTCATCAGTGGTGATCTCCCCAGGTACTGGTGGGAGATGAACTCTGGTTGTGGTGTCACTGACCAGTAAACTATGCTAAGAGTGTATTCAGCCAGTAAGTCTGTATTGTGGGTTTTTTTCCTCTCTATAAGTGACAGTGCTAAAAAGGCCCCAGAGAGGTGAACATAGATGGTTAACATTAATTTCAGCAACAGCAAGACACTGTGTCCCATGATAAGCTGTTTAATTAAACCTTGCACCTCTTTTAATCTGTGGTTCTATTTCTGTCTGGTTTTTGTTTCTCATCTCAGCTGTCTCTCCTGCTTCCATGTTTCAGACATAGCCTCATTTATTTTTATCATGCATGATTAATTCAGTTTACATAAAGGGTTTCTTGAGAAGGGTGGATAAAGTATATAAAGCCCTTGTTCAGCCTAAATTTGGATTTAGATGGTTTGTAACTCTTCTCTTCAGTGCAAATTGGTCTCTCGGTTCTGCTGTGCCTCTTGCTCTTCCCTCCAGCTAGCCTAGAGAGCCTTGCCAAAGCTGTCCAACAACAGCTGTTGAGCAATGTGCTTAATCACAGACACTCCTTGCTGTCCAACTGCATTTAATCACTGTGAAAGATGAAACTGCTTTCAGAAAGTGTGTTACAGAGCGAAAAGGAGCAATGAAGCAAAGAGGAAAGCAGCATTTCCTCACCGTAACTGTTGAAGGGAGAGAAGGGTTGTTATCCTAAAGGAGGGGAAAAATCGGTAAACACTTTTTTTTCGCAGTTCTCCATGACAATTTAGATGTACATTGGGTAGAGAACATCATGTTTTTCGGTGTGAAGAAGTCCTGCACAAAGTTGCATCTCACAGAATTAGTGCATGTTTGAAGATAGTGTAGAACTAAAAACTGCAGGCAGGAGGTGTCTTACTGTTCTGAAGTGTGATTGCATATTGAATTTCAATGGAACACTGATTAGCTATTCCTATTCATCCTATTCCCCCAGTATGAAAGACTGGTATTTTTTTGTACTTCAGTACTTTCTGACATAGCCGCTGGCAGCCTTTACTTGTTTATTTCCTTCAGCTTAATAATATATAAAATACTTAGTGAAAATAAAATCTGAGATTTTTTTTTTTATTAGTGGAGAGAAAAGAAATATCATCTATATTAAAGCCAAAAAAAGTGGTAGTTGCAGTGGTCACAAAATATATTTTAATCTCTGTTTGTAGGAAGTGAAGGGTGAGGAAAACAGGCAGAGCACCAAAACTGCGGTTCTGTAGGTATTTAGGAGAAAATACAAAGACTAGAGGCAGTTTCTGGGAAGTGTCAGTTTGATTACTATCTTGGTTCTTGCACTGACTAGGGACAGATACGGATTCTCCTGAGAAAAATTTGGTCTGCATTGGATACCTTGTGAAGTCATACTTCAACAGCTTTTTTGTCAGTCCCCATCAGGCATACAGATGGTTTCAATTGTTTCTGAGTTTGTCTGAAGAAGGCTGTAACATAAATCAATACCAGAAACTAAGGGAAAGCTCTTTACTTTTCCCCCTTTGGCATAGTTTTGCATGGACTGAAAACTAGTATAATATGGCAAAAGACTGTAAGGGAACAGGAAACTTTTTAATGAGGGAGGAGGTAGCATGTTTTGAAGAAAATTAGCCCTCCCTGTAATTTGGGTATTGGGGCTGTCTGGAGAGATGTAGTAGAAGTACTGTGATTAATTTTTAGCCTGGATGTAAATGGGTTCAACCTGATTTATCTTCCTTCAACACTAGATGCATGAGTCTTTTCTGCCCTTCTTGGCCCCTGCATCCCCCAGGAAAACTTCTTTTTTCTTCTTTGTGTGCACACACAAGCAAGGGTGGCTGGTGAAATCAGCAGGCAGAGACCATGGGAAAGCTCTGAAGTTATTGCAGACCATCTGCTAGGAGTTATGTCCTGTCATTTGTAGAAGGCTTGAGGAAGAAAAGGTTGGAAATCACCTTCCTGCTTGATAACAATGTTATCCTAGAGAAGGTTCTATCTGGTCCTCAGTTCCACACTTGCAATGAAAACTAATAAATAAGTAACAATGCAGTCTCTTACCTCCTTTTCCCAAAGCTCTTGGATTTTAGCTGGCAGCCATGTAAAAGCCTAAATGTAATAATAAAAAACATACCAGGAACTGTGCAGTATGTTACTGTCGAACATGCTTCTATGTTTTCTGCAGTTGGAACTCACACAGAGTATCTGTCCTCCTTTGTCAGTGTAGAGCATTGCAGGATTGCCTGGCTGAGATGGAGGAGTTTACTGGCTTGGTCCAAAATTACTGAACTCACAGAAGTTGCCTACCAGCTGAGATCTGATACTAATATTGCACTGAAGCAGCCTGAGCTATAGAAGTAACTCACACATGAAAAGCTGAAGTAGCCTGGAATGCCATTGCCATATGGAAGGAGAAAGAATTCCCAGGCTGTTTGCTTAAGTTGTATGGGTGCTCTGGTGCTGAGCAATCTTGGGAACTTTGCAAGGTTCTGATAATAATTTTCATTTCACATCAAAGCAGACGAAAGAATCAAAGACAGGAAACTTAAGCTTAGGCAAAGTAATTCTAATGAAGTGTTTTGAAGAGGGAGAGGAAAACCCTGAGCTTGCATGCTTTTAATTCACATTTGTGTCTTTTTATTTGGGGAATCAGCAAATATGTGAAAGTTGTAAGCCTGTAATAGTTAAGTATTTGGGAAACTTATGTAAAGAACTTTATGCTGCTTTTTATAATTATGTATAGTATCTGCTGAATGATTTTGTGCCCTCAGTATGTAGAGAATAAACTGTGAGTGAGGTGAGAATAAGGAGTGTAAGTTCCTTCGGAAAAGGTCCCTCTTTTTGCCTTGAATTATAAGATAACAAAGCTCATGAGTATTTTGTAATACCTGGCTTTTTGTTGCCAATTATCACCCATAAAATATATTCTGAAGTGATTGCTACTTCAGCTTTCAGTAAAGAGCAGTCTAGCAAGAAAAACCACTTAAATCCTCCGCCCAGCACTGTCAGAACCAGCATGCTTTGAACATAGACAGAGACAAGCAGAGTTAAAAATCTGTTCTAAGACGCCAGAACTGCCCAATTTTGAAGCAGTCGTTTCATGATGTGGAAAGTCCTAGAAGCTTGCTATCTCGTCCAAAATACGAATCCTGCCAGGAATCCTAAATAGGTAACGGTGCGTGACGGATGGTTTGATAACAACCGTTCATCTGGCTTCTCCTTCTTGTTTCTCCCTGCACAGTTGTCTGGTGGGTGTGAGCTGACGGTGGTAATCCACGACTTCACTGCCTGCAACAGTAATGAGCTGACAATCCGCCGTGGGCAGACAGTGGAGGTCCTGGAGAGGCCCCATGACAAGCCCGACTGGTGTCTGGTTCGAACCACAGATCGGTCCCCTGCTGCAGAAGGCCTGGTCCCCTGTGGGTCCCTCTGCATCGCTCACTCTCGCAGTAGTATGGAGATGGAAGGGATTTTCAACCACAAAGGTAGGAAATGATGGAAACAGTGTCTCATTCTCAGCACTGCGAGTTTTGGGTAATGGGAAGTACTGTGCAAACAGGCACTTTGGTGTTCTTGCACTGTTTTGGTTTCTAGTTTTTAATTAGATAAAACACAATGCTTTTAGCAACCTGCAGCCACACTGTCTATTCCAAAATAAGCAGTTGGCAGATCTCAGTGTTAAGTGAAAATGTGTCTGAAGACAGGGAAGAGCTTTAAGCAAATTAATGTCTTGGTGAACAGAGTTATAAATCATGTTAGATCAAGTTGCAATGATAGGAAAATCTATACGTGTCATGTGCGGGAAAGGGAGAAGGGGAGAGAATCTCCAACATGCAATATCAATGGCTCCTGAGAAACCCTGCAGTAAGAAGTCATCACAACATCAGCCTCAGCAATGGAAAAGGTAAATACACATATTCATATACTCTGGCACAGGGATCAACTGTTTGGACTTGGGTATTTTACTTAACCGAGTTTTCCAGAGCAGCAGTGGCATATTCATCCCTTTGTCCCAGAACAGCTCTGAAATCTTTGTTTTTTCAGATGCATGAAAGAATGTGCCCCTGAAGAGTGCAACAGAAAACTGATAATTTTTTTTTAAGTTTTTAAGACTTTGGTGTGCTTGTAGTTCTTTGACTCCATGAACTCCCGAGGCTCAGAGAGTAGTTTGTTCTTAGAGAAAATGCTTGATTGCTTCCTCTGAAACTACTTGAGTTTGCAGCCTGTGAACAGAAAGCAATGTGAATTAAAAAAAACAACAAAGCAAACCCACACCAGGAAAACAGTTCACTAGAAGGTGTTTCATCACATGCTGGGGGAAAAAGAGCCATTTCAAAAAGTCTGTTATTGCAAGTAACAAGATTAGCTGGAAAGTGGTGTTGGGGAGAACTTGTTTTCTGAAACACAAAATTCTGGGTTCAGAGAGCTTTTCATAAATATAAACACAATTTTTTCAATTATTCAGTCCATCCCAGCTATCACATTATAACTCTACCCAGATTTTTCAGTCACTGTATAAATGTGCTTGTATAAAAGTGAGGAGAGTTTGTGTTCCTTACATTAGAAGCATGCACAGCAGGAACTTCCAGAATGCCGGGCGATTGGGAGGGGAAGTCTGAAGGACTGAGTTGTGTAGTTGGAAAACTTTTTTGTCCTCTGTGTCTTACAACAATTAGATAGAGAAAGTTTGCAGTTGTTTCGATTATAAAATTGGAAAATGCAGTTGGTTATCACTAAAACATTTCTTCCTTTGACAGGGAGGTGAAATCATGGAAATGTCAACAGGGTTTTTTTTTGTTTAATGACCCTCACACAACTGAGAAATCCAATTTCCTTTGGAGCTAGGGGACCTCACCTTTGAATGCAGAGAATTTTATTAGGAGAGACAGATTGTACTTGGTATTTTATATGAACAACATTGAACCTGTCAGACTCCTGAGGGAGAGAGAGAGCTGGTTTTGTATTTGAGAGGTTACCTTTATTACTCAAACTAGTGGATGTAATCTGTATTGCTTTTTTTTTTTTCCTTAGTGTTTGGGGGAAATGGGGCAGAGCATTGCAAACTTACTGTAGTTTTTGTAAAGTTGCTATAGTTTGGCATGTTGCTTTGAAATAAAGAGGATTCATTAATTATATTAATCATGGAGACTGAAGAAGAAAAGGCTGTTGCTAGAATGAGCATGATTACAGAGTTGAATGCAGCCTCAGAAGTGACTTCTGTCCCTGCCTCTATCACAGCCTTCCTGTGGGGTGTTACAGCAAGGCATCTGAACCCCGGATGATAAGAAGCAGCTGCTAATTGTTTATTCCCACATTACTGGGTGTCAGGCTTTAGGACCTGGATGTTTGCTTTGTAAAGTTCCTGGTGCATGTGAGTGTGACTGAAGCCAGTGTGAACTGTCTTGAACATGCAAACTATTATATAATGTTAAGGAAACTGGGGAAGAAAACAGGCAAAAAAACAAACAACTATACAGTGAGTACTTGAAACCACTGGATATGTTTGACTTCAATCTCTACCCCAACTTTCTAGTGCTTGAAAGTGTTTGATAGTGTTCATTTCATGGAGGGATTGCAAAAATTCAGCAAAATTAGTTGAGTGCTATGTTTTTATTTCCCCTACCCCCACAGTGAAAAGTACCTCAGACAATGCCACAAAGCAATTATTCATTCTCAAGTGCTGCGTTTGATTAAAGATCTTGAAATAAGGGGGAATACGCTAATCAGAACAATAGATAAACAGATTGTATTTTCAGAATTAATGGGCATCATCTGAGGTATGAATTCCTAAAAAAAAGCCAAACAAAAAAAAACCCTAAACAAAACAGAAAACACAACCCCCATAACAAAGAAAAAGCAAATTATTTGCATAATTTAACTCAGTCCACACACTTGGGTAGACAGCTCTGAAAGGTTGTATTTCCTAGTTTTCTAGTGCTTGATTCTACAACTTCAGTATTTTTAATTTTTTTTTTTTTCTTGACCATAATTCAGTAAACTTTCAGGTTTTGAATGATTCACCAATTAAGACATTTGCCCTCTGGAGTGTTTCGGTCTGAAAATAATGTGGTAAGTCAGGTTCATAGTATGAGCATCCAATCTGAGTAATTCTGTGCAATTCATGGGCTAAGCCACGTGCAGTAGACACAAGCCTGGAGTTTGTGCATGTCTGCCATTGCAAGCTGTTGTCAGAAGCTCAGAGAGAGAGGTTTTATGTAATTCCAAAGGAAAACGGGAGGTGATCGCCATCAGAAATGGTGTGGGTAGATGCTTGTGGCTGTTGAGTGCTTCGCCTATACAAATGGCTTATTAAAGCAAAGAGTTTTGCACTTCTTTCAGTGTCTGTGGAACCTACAATTTTGATCATTTCAACAGTGTTTATCAGTAACATTTGCAAATGAAAAAAGTTAGAAAGCCATGGCATAACAGTGAGCTTTGAAGCTTTGCAGTGGGAAACCTAATTTACAGCTGGTTCTTAAGTTGCGTTAAACCACATTTCATCCCTGAGTACAGAAATGTTGGGAGGTATTTAATGCTCTAAATAATCTCAAATTATTGTCCAAAATAGGGTAACATGAAAGATTATTAAAGCAAAAAGTATGTTCAGTGAAGCCTAGTTCTGACAGCTGATCTTGGTCATTCCTTTGTCAGTCTCTGTCAGTCCACATGCTATCTGACAAACATAAAAGGTAACATTTTATTCTCATATTGTAAGACTGCCTCAAAAATTACCCTTATTGCTTGTCTACAAGTGTGTATGTTACTTTTCCTCTAAGAATGTGTATTACTTTAGATATTTAATCAGTATTAAAAAATAAAAATTAATGCATTTACATTATCTTCAATTTTGTTAAGAGTATGGGGAAAGCATTACATAGGAAAAAGACATTCACTAGGTGGATAGTCATTTAGGAGGAGGGTCATATACAGGTTCCAGACCTCTTACTTACTCTGCTGGATAGGAAATCTATTTTTATAAGTTATTGGGGTCATTTAATTAATTTGACATGCAGCTTACAGGTTAGTACATTTTAAAAAAATTAAATCCCTTTTGTAATGGGGAAAAAAAAGACAAAGAAGTGGGTAGTGAAGAGGTTGAATAACAGTTGGCACACTCTACAAAAAATAATTTACTAGCTTTAGAAGAACATGTTTTTCACAAGTAATACATACGGCAGCAATTTTTTTTGCAATGATTCCCCACATGTTATTGAGCGTGGGGAGAACGAATGTTCCTACTTTATTTGGTACTTCTGTCTTTTCTTAATAAGGGTTTCTTTTCATTCTCTGGTACATCCTTTTTATATGTGCAATTCTCTTTCCTTTGTTGGTAGGGCATTTACATAGACAGAGCTTTGGGTAAAGGGCATTCAGTGTAATGAAATTGTAAGCTTGGAAAAGTTGGCAGGTATATAAATGTTGTAAATCTCTTGCCTGTTTAGATGGTAAATTCACTGTATTTTCCAACTCTGTAAGTACTTCTGAAGTCTGTAGAATTTGTGATAGTCTATCATACCTTTTCTGTAAATGCTACTCTTTGGAGTGGTACAAAGGCTATAATAAGCCTTTGCTCATGAGGCTTAGGGTTTTTCAGGACAGTATAACTGCTAATTCGTATTAGGATCTGTTTGGTTTGAAACTTGGACACAGATACTTTTTTTTTTTACATGAAGGTGCGATGTATGCCTGTTTTATATGTTCTTATAATCAAGGTATCTGTATATATGGCTTGTTCAGATCTGAAAGGTTGGTGATGTCTTAGTAACATGGTGACATAGCGTGCACCACTACAAAACTGAATACTGGCTCTTAATTTTACTCTCAGTGTAATATCCTGACTGCTGCCATGAACAGAAAAGCGTTATTTCAGCAGTTGGGTTTTGTTGTTCCTAGTTGTTTTATTGTTGTTGTTTGTTTTTCCCCAGTTATAGTATCTCTCAAATAATTGACCATAATAAGGAGAATTAAACAGCTGATGCTTTCTAAGACATAGGGTTCTCAAATTTGTTTTAAGAGCTGTGTAGTAAGGCCTTTTCTAACCTGCAAGACGGGAAGGAGTGATGTAGAGCAGTTGTTGGAGGTGTCAGAGCTCTTCTTAAGCTAGTATGGGGACCTCCTATTCAGGAATTAAGAAAAAGAAAAGTTTCATAGATAACATAGAGATATTTACCTAGTTAAAAAAAGAGAGAGATTGTATAGTGAAGGCCACAGAACGCGATATATCATTATTTGTTTCATTAATCTTGCTCTTCCACAGCTGGAGATCTTCTATTAAAAATATTAAGTTTAGAAGAAAGGGGAAGGGGAGAGAGTAAAGGTAGAATGTCTTGCATATGATCAAGAGCTTTGAAAATTATGATTGAGAAATGGGGTGTTTCCATGTCAAATCCAAATAGTCTTATGTAGGAAGAGGAAATTCTGGATAGCAGCAGCAGCAGCAGAATGTCATTGAGTAAAATGGGAATCCAGTGTGAATAATTAAAGA